TATGTCGTTTTTGTATCGATTGTACCTTCCCATTATCGCCCAAGGGAGATCATCTCGATAAGTTGTTCATCCACCGGTCGAATCGACTTAAAAGATATTACCGTCGTATTGCCTTGTGAATCGAGCGAGAATGACTGACGCATTCCGGATTCATGGAGAGATAGCGCAATGAGAAATTGTAGCCTGCCTTGTTTATTCGTAGGTTGTAGACAGAATCGCTTTAGATAAATCAATTTTACCAGGATACTAGGGAATGTAAGGCCATGCAACATCTGAACAGGCAAGAACCGTACTGACGTATATAAGCATTCTCTCATGCGTTCGTTAGTTTTCTCTGCGGCTGGCAGATCATATGCTGGATTCCGAGGAAAAATATCATAACTTGGAAATATTCAAGATAATATCTTATTATTTCCCTGTGCTATTCAATCGTATCTTTCATCATGAGAAACTAGTAATACATGAAATTTAAGCGGAAGGATTTTTCACCGCACTTACAATCAACGGGCAATGTAACCATTATTGTAAATAGTGCAACATGATATGCCATCAGTAGAGATGAATAATGGAGCCGTTAAATTGATGCGTTTGGAGAATGGAGCATGTTATAACAACTTTGTGATCGTGTTTTATATTGGAATGGATTTCACAAGTACGATACAATATTGCAACGGATTACACATAGTTAGATAGGAAACACATTTACAAGGAATCTCTTTGTAGGTAGACCTGGTTTATTTATTTATATTGGAAGATAGTTAGAAAATTATTGGAGCATAAAATGACAACCTCGCACATGTATTTAAATGAATATGATATGTCTATGTTTAACATCAGTCTTGTTGGTCATGTAAGATAATTATTGGAAATTTCTCGCATTGTGGTTTGCAAGTTTAGAAAGGGGAAAATAAGTTGATGCATTTAAGGCAATAATTTATTCCTCCACATGTAATTATAACTGATTTACTCAATTGGAGAATGCGGTGGCTAGTGTCTTACATGGGCGTAGCCAGGGGGATGGCGTGCGATGGGCGCGAACCACCGTACCCCCCCACCCCTTTGCTGGCTACGCCCCTGTGTGATATATCAGAGTCTCTCACAAGCTTTAGATGAAGAGAGATTCGGATAAATTTATTCAGAATGATTATCTTATGTTTTACAGGGAACACTCTGACATTAGTTAACGTTTCGGCGGTCATGGATCAAACATATGAGGAATGCAGTTATATGTATCATGTGTTAGAATTAGAAAGCGGCTCTATAAAATGAATGATAAATCAATTTTAGGTAAACAAGGAAAAGGAATTATATCAAAACGTGCAATAATAAAATCTATATTCTTGATCGCGGTTTACGAACTACCCGTTTGAGTGGGTCACAAAGGGTCACAGCAGCCCCATAAAATGCGATAAAATGCTTAAGATGACCTTGGAACTTAAACATTAACCTCACGTCACCGAGTAATGAGTCGTCAACAGTCAAAGCATCTTTCAAGTGCCTCAAAACTCCAAATTCTTATATATCGACCTTTGACCTTGAGATGACCTTGACCCATAAATATTGACATTGACCTCAGGTTACATATCATGTACCGCCAAGAGTCACAGCAGCTCCCAGTCCCAGGGTCTTAAAACCCCAAATACCTACATACATTGGGCTTTGATCTTGGAATGACCTTGACTTGATGGGACGCCAATGGGTTATCAGAGCCCCCAAATACCAAGCTATTTACCTTTGAATAACATTGACCCATAAAGTTGACCTTGACCTCAGGTCACCTAATCATGGGTCGACAAGAGTCACAGCACAGACCAAGTGTCTTAAAAAGCCAAATACCTATATTGACTTCTGACCTTGGAATGACCTTGACCTCTGACCCTCGTAAAATGCCCACCGGCTCAATTGATATGTTGACCAAGTATGAATGCCCAATGTCAAAAGGTCTAGGGTAGACAGACAGAGAGGCAGACAGACTACCGTGCTTCATAGTAAGAAGAAGATGAAAAAGACATTTTTTATCACATGTAACAAATCACTTAGTAAAATAGATCTTGGTGAGCGAGGTTTATGAACATTGGAAATGGAGATATTCAGTGTGTGAGATCACTTTATAAAATCGATATTGGTGATCGTGGTTTATGAACATGGGAAATGGAGATATTAATTGTGTGAGATCTACCTAAATCTTTTAAGTGCATGGTCTAGAACCTGGCAATTGAAATTTAAAGCATCTAAAAGTGCTCATTTAGTTTTTCGCTCAACCCGACAAAAAAATATTCAAATGTCTCCGCTTTACTTTGATGGTGAAATGATCCCCCAAAAGCAATCACACAAGCACCTGGGTTTCATCTTAGATGAGAATTTGACTTTTAATGACCATATAAACTATCTGTCTAATAAAGTTCAAAAACTGTTAAATCCTTTGAAGCTCATATCAAACAAAATACAGTCGCACCATCTTGAAATAATGTATAATTCATATTTGGCGTCTCATTTTGACTATTGTAGCTCCATTTACGGATCGTCATCCTTGGCGGCCTTGTCAAAGCTTGATAAAATCCACTACCAAGCTGCTGTTATATGTGCTGGGGTACTGCATGGCTCTAACACCTCAAAAACTTTAAAATGTTTACAGTGGAAATCGCTTACTGACAAAAGACACGAAAAAAATCTAAGACTGATGTTCAAAATTGTAAGAAAGGAAGTGCCTTATTATGTCCATAGTCTTTTTGACCAACATCGCAACCAAGCAACTAGAATTTTAAGACACTCTTTACCCTTTTCCTGCCCAAGAAATATTTCAATGAGACTCTCCAAAGCACCAGTTTTAAAACTTATAAATGATTGGAACCAGCTAAGCCAGACTTTTCGTGAAATTCAAACCATTTCTAGATTCAAAAGCTCTATTAAACAGATATTTATCCCTATTTCAAACTTTATACCAACTACAAAACTAAATTTAAGTAGAACCAACGAAAAACTGCTAAATAGGCTTCGAGTTGATTTTGCCCTTAAAGACCATTTCTTTACTTATAATTTTACTGGAATAATTGATAACAAATGCCTCTGCGGCTCTACTGAAGACACAAAGCATTTCATTCTAACCTGCCCTCGCCATACCCATGAACGTAATAAAATGATGACTGCACTTCGTGAACAAAATTTATTGTTTGATACTCAACTTATTTCTAGTAAGACAGAACAGGTCAAATACTTAATTTATGAAAATGAACTCACTATTGATTCTCAGAAAATCCTGATAGATATAGTGATGCAATTTGTACAGGCCTGTTATAAGTTTCCATCAAATTAATGTTTTTCTCATTTGTATCTTGTGACAACCCCCCCTCCCTCCCAACCTCTCACATTACCAATAAACCATCTATGATTACTGTAATTAATCCTCTATTGTAATTTAAACTACCTAGAATGCCTATGGCGATTGGTAGTAGATATTTTGTGTATTTTTTGATTATGAAGGAAATAAATAATATGTTAAAAAAAAAATTGTGTGAGATCACTTTATAAAATCGATCTTGGTGATCGTGGTTTATGAACATGGGAAATGGAGATATTACGTGTGTGAGATCACTTTGTAAAATCGATCTTTATGATCGTGGTTTATGAACATGGGAAATACACTTATGTTATCATATGTAAGAAGGATAACTTAATAAGTTGTATCTTGGTGATCGAGGTTTATGAACATGGGAAATGGAGTTATGTCACATGATAAACCATGGCATCTCATTTCTTGCCAGTCCTGATAGTCAGGTGAAACAGAAAGATGATATGAGGATCACAATGGAGTTATGTTATCACATGTAAAATATCACTATACAAAATTGATCTTGATGATCGTGGTTTATGAACATTTGAAATGCAGTAATAATGCAGTAATAAATCAATTTATAAAATTGACAGTAGTTCTGAAAGTCGCGTTTTATGAACATGGGAAATACAGTTGTCTTAGCTATGGAGGAATGATAAAGACATTAGTTTTACTAACATGGGAACTAAATTGACGTAGACCAATTAATATATAATAGAAAAGCGGTAAAAGAATACACTTGGATATGGACCATAAAACATGCTTTTATTATATTGAAAATGGAGTTACATGACCATTATATAACAAATGGGAAACCATAAACCATGAAATTCATAATGGGTAGTAAAACATGGGATTCCTGAATAAGATGCCGGTGTGAAAGAAATGATGGTCCCCCAGGGATTATGGTCCCCTTTCTTAACGGCCCTTACTGGCCCTGATTGCGTTTAAGCTAATGAGGGAAAGAGTTGTATTTAGATCACCATATAAATCAACGGAGAGTAGGACCATAATTTGATAGGACCTCTTACCCTTTTACGCCGGTGTCTTAATATTATTTTGCTTTGTAAGAGTTATAACCAAAATTAATGGTATAGTTTAGAAAAAGATCTAGAACAGTCATGGTATCACTTCAAGGAGACTCTCAGGCCAAGAAATACGTTATTATGAAATGTTTAAAAAGCCCCCCAATGTACTGAGTTGGTATTTGCGTTGTGTATATGTATTATACCCATACTTACACATGCGAAAGGCTGATAAAGATGAACGAATGGTGGATGTAACACAAGAAACTTTATTTCAGTCAATTTGTGTACTGAGTTGGTAATGCGTAATGTGTAATGCGTAATGCGCTGTGTATATGCATTATTTCACTATGTACATACTTACACCTGCATAAGGCTGATAAAGATGAACGAATGGTGGATGTAACACAAGAAACTTTATTTCAGTCAATTTGTGTACTGAGTTGGTAATGCGTGATGTAATGCGTAATGCGTAGTGTATATGTATTATTTCACTGTGTGCATACTTACACCTGCGTAAGACTGATAAAGATGAACGAATGGTGGATGTAACACAAGAAACATAATTTCAGTACATTTTGTAACTGTATACCGAGCCCCAGACACACATATTATATAGTAATTTTATTGTCATTTTATTGCAGGTCTGCTGATGATGGCCAGGATCTAAAGGGAGAAAACGAGGTAAGAATTTCCTTTTATTTATTTAAAGATAATGATAATATTTGCAAGTGGAAGAAGGCTGAGCTCAGGGGAAAGCTAAACCCACTATTTGGATGTCCTTTGTACATCTTATATATATTGCTCATTGCTTATATTTAATGCAATATTTGTGTCCATGGCAGTTCAAATGATTAAATGAAAAATGTGATGCTGACCTACTTTCATTCAAAATGGCCGCTCAAACAGCTTCATTTGGCATTACAGACGTAGGAGAAATAGCCATATCATATGATGTCATATTTATGAGGACATATTAAGCATTATTCCAAAACCCTGTAGATTTCTTGATTTTTCCTTCATTTAGTTATATTAAGAATAAAGATTAAGAAATTCAACCAATCGCCTGTTTCATTTTGGAGATTAGTCCCGCTTAACACTACCCTGCGTGCAGAGTCTAGTTAAACTACAAGACGAAGCTCTCTTTTAAGAAGTGAAGTCAAACGAATGCAAAGGGTACTTAACACAGATTAACCTCTTGTGGCCTAAATTAAACTTCTTATGCAGAGGGTCATGCAGGCCTAAGTGAACGCAATGAATGTCTAGACAATCTAGTACAATACGGCACTACAATGAAGTTTAGTAATTTGTTTTATCTTTTATCGATTGTCTACCATAATATATATTGTTATCATGCTGTAACGAGGGAGGTCATATCCCAGTTACCAGAAACGGAATTTAGTTCAACAATTTGATATATTTAAAGGGGCAACAAGGACTGTAGAGAAAAGATTCGAAAATTTTTACTTTTTCTGAGCTATCGGGGCAACATTTGGCTTAACATCTTCTTTGACATACCTATTTTCTTAAAATGTATGGATAAACTATCAATTTCAGCATTAAGAATTGTAAATTCAGTTCAAAGCTTCTATAAAGGGAGTCCCACTTATAGAGTTTTAAGATTCACCACGTTTCAATAGGAATATCAGCTGAAATAATGTCATCCAGGGGGTTTCTTTCAAGAACAAAAATATATGTTAGTCTTGAATGAAATATCCAAACTTAAATATATTTTGACACTGGACCGTTGAATGGCCCCTCTGCACTAATTGTTGCACCTTTGAGTAAAAAGTTGTTTAATAAGGAAAACGACCGAAGGATAGCACGAGTGGAATTATATTTGATATTTGAATTTCTTTGACTATATGTAACTAGAATCAAACTGAACAGCACTGGACTCAAAAATGCAATTTTGGACCACCCTGTATACAACGAGGACATATTAATATGATTTGCCAAGTGGCAAATTGTCCGGAAATAAGTTATGCGGTAAGACGGATACGTAGTTACAAAATAATCCCTAGCCCATAGTAATTTCTACCAATATTTAATACTGCAAACAATGCAGTTCAGACCCATATAAGTGCATGCATGAGTTTTATTCGATGGAAACCATTATTTAGACGTGTTTTCTCATTTTTTTAGGTTCAGCCTGGTAGTAATCGAATCGATAGACAGACTGGCGACCAACACGGTAATAGGTGAGTATGGCGTATATTGCAGTCCAACATATTGATAGCCCATATATTTTGGTGCTTGGAATCCGACGTCTGTGGTAGGCGGATGGCGTCTGTAACAATTTAATATGCTTTAGTATGCATATGCAGGTAGTGACATTTTGTCATGTTAATATCTAATAAACAATTCTGTCTCCTAGCTTTTCCCGTCAGGATTAATTATTTTCGTGGATTTACATGGATAACAATCCTTTCTTAATATCCGGTTATGTACTGAGAGGTTTTGATGAAATCCGACGTTCACAGTTCCTGTTCAAAACGCTTTTTGGCAAAATACTGAAGCTAGATTAGAACGAGGTGAATAAATATATGCTCCCACAGATAACACCAATATTATATATCCTGCTGTTTCCCTTAAATCTTACTGAAATTATGAGATAAGAGCGATAATGTTTGCATCCTTTTTTAAAAAAAATTGGAGCTTTAGATGCGCAAAGTGCGACAACTTTTGCACTAATTGTGCGCATGCCGTCAAAAAAACGCAACCCAAAGAAATTGCTATATCTTAAAAAATACTAGTTTAATTATGTTCATTTTTTCAGGAAAGAAAGAAGAGACTGTGTATGTATAGCTCCTGTAGTTGGTTAGTTGTAAAACATGATGCATTGGACACCTGCTCAAAAGACAGTTGTACTGGGAAAATACGAAAAACCGAGTCAGGGCTGACTGCAACCGCAAAAAAACCAAATAACTTCCTAGCCATAGTATTTTGGCTCTTCAAATTTGGCACAAATCATCTTCATTAGTAGATAGAAAACTGAGGGCATCAGAACGCCACGGGCCGCCACGGGCCCGGGGCTTTCAAAATCTCTGAAGATGAGCAGGAGATATTGATGAGCAGGAGATAAATTAATTGAATGGGGATTAGGAGATAAATTAATTGGATGGGGCTTTCATCTTAAATGTGTAAAAATGATAGATAAGATGCGCATGACATCATTGTTATCTTAAATGGGTGAGAGATAAGATGCGCATGACATCATTGTTATCTTAAAAATCAAACATCAATTACTACATCAAATAACTGAGAAAAAATTAATGTACAATATTGTTTAATTTATTTGCATTTATTTTACAAACAAAAGTACCACATAATCTAATTAATCCTTATTATCACTAGCAGAATCATTGGTTTCATCAGATTCATTATCACTAGATTCACTAGCTTCGTCATTGTCACTAGAGTCAGTATACGATTCATCTGAAACATTTGCATCATCATAAAGTCCTACATTAATAATGTCTTCTGTCATATAGTTGTGGTGTAACATGGTCTTCTTAAAAGCATCTTCAAACGGTATGCCTGTACTCATTAATTGCTGGATGTCTACCATGATTTCTTTATGTGTTGGACTACATTGTAAATCTAGTAAATCTTCAACTAAATATTTGTAGTATGTCTTAAACGTTTCTCTTATTTTGGGTAGGAATTTTTGATTCGCCATATATCTTCTATCATACTCAGAATTCCCCTTCTGTTTGTCTATATATTTTGCCTCTTGTTCTTCAATTTGATCTTTAAATTTATTAATAGCTTTATCCTTTAGCCGTATATACACAGGGTTTTCCTGAAACCCTTCAGTGCATAGCTTCTTCATTGGAGGGTCGTCTATATCCTCATTCAATGGACAGTTTTGGATATGATTCTGTAGATCCATTCTTGATATTAACATGACACCACAATAGTCACAATGACATATTTCTTTCATGTTGTAATTTTTGTTGTCAGAATGTATAACGTTGCTGGGGATAGTATCTTTTATACTCGCAGTGAACTTATATGGAGGTTTCATTATTGAAGTATCATACTGTGACATCTCTTTAAATGGGTTTTCAATAGCATTCAAATCATATGGTAGTGCTATGTCATTGGATTGTACTGTCTTAGTAAATGGTTCTCCCTTTAGATGACTACTATCATGCTCATTCATTGTTTGATGAGTCTTATCATAACACAGTCTTAAATGCTCTGGGGTTTCTTGCTTTAGATCAATCAGTAAATGCCCATATGGTTTTAGAGTAGCTGCATTATAAGCATCTAAGAGTTTGTGACTGTTCCCAGGATACATCTGCTGAGAAAGTACTCTTACTTGGTTTTGATCTCTTGGATTCTTGTACAATACAATGTAATGTGTATTCAAGCTGATGGTTCGATTCTCCCTTCCATGATGGAAGATATTCTGCAGTAAACAGATTACACTCAGGTTTCTGTGATGACTCCCTTTAGTAAACAAATCAGAAATCTTCCTGTCTTTGGTAGCATCTGACATCAAGTCATCAACAATCATTAAATTACGCACTCTAGGATTTAAGAAATCTGGACTGTTTAATTCATCTGGAATTCCCATCATAAATTCTATTCCAGGATGTATGTTCTTAATCTCTATGTAAAGTGGTTGCCATTGTCCAAAACACCAGATAATACGCTGTGGAGGGGGTTGGATGCGTTGCTCTACATTTTCCAAAAGTTGCTTGACAAAGGTAGTTTTCCCACAGCCTGTGGGACCAGTGACCAACATGGTAAAGGGGTGATGCAACACTTTGTCCATACCTACATGTATGTCTTCTTTACCTAGTGCAGAGTGCATGCCTTTGTGTCTCGCTAAACTTGAAGCATGTCTAAATTCTTTACCGCAATGACAGTAATACATGTTACTGCCTCAAAGACTGATAACAAAATGGATGCAATTCATAATTTCGTTCTGTTATGTATATGTGTTCAAAGGCATGTTCAATAATGCTAATTTAAATGTATGCTAACAGATGCTAATGCTAATAGATGCTAATGGTAATGCTAAGTAATGCTAACAGATGCTAATGCTAACAGATACTAATGCTAATGCTAACACGTGCTAACAGATGCTAATGCTAATAGATGCTAATGGTAATGCTAACAGATGCTAATGCTAATGCTAACAGATACTAATGCTAATGCTAACAGATGCTAATGCTAATATATGCTAATGGTAATGCTAAGTAATGCTAACAGATACTAACATATGCTAATGATGATGCTAACAGATGCTAATGGTAATGCTAACAGATGCTAATGGTAATGCTAACAGATGCTAATGGTAATGCTAACAGATGCTAATGCTAATGCTAACAGATACTAATGCTAATGCTAACAGATGCTAATGCTAATATATGCTAATGGTAATGCTAAGTAATGCTAACAGATACTAACATATGCTAATGATGATGCTAACAGATGCTAATGGTAATGCTAACAGATGCTAATGGTAATGCTAACAGATGCTAATGCTAATGCTAACAGATGCTTACATATGCTAATGATGATGCTAACAGATGCTAATGGTAATGCTAACAGATGCTAATGCTAATGCTAACAGATGCTAACAGATACTAATGCTAATGCTAACAGATGCTAACATATGCTAATGATGATGCTAACAGATGCTAATGGTAATGCTAACAGATACTAATGCTAATGCTAACAGATGCTAACATATGCTAATGATGATGCTAACAGATGCTAATGGTAATGCTAACAGATGCTAATGATAATGCTAACATATGCTAATGATAATGCTAACAGATGCTAATGAGGTAATGCTAACTAATGTTCATACATATTCAAACCATTTGTAAATGAACAACATTTGAAAAAAAAACAACATTTGAAACTTTAGTTATTTATTTTTATTCATATCGTTCAGTATTATATACAAATAACTTTAATCGTCCATCCTTGCTGGGATACCAGGTGGTTTGTATAAGAATGTCCGTTTCTTTCTTGTATTCGAAGTGTTTTGTTTTTTCTGTTTAAATGGATGTTTCTTCTTTATATTTACAGAGTTTTGTTGTTTCTCTTTAGATGGTCTATACTCTTCATATTTCATATCTTCATGTTGACGTTTCAATTGTGCCTTTGCTCTGTCGACAACTGCAGTCATGGGTGAAATGATTTGTACTGGTTTAGTATCTTCTTTAATGTCATCTATGCCTATCCACCCTCTTCCTGTTTGAGATACTTTCAATCTATTCTGTCTCCCAGCTCGAATAAGTTTCAACCAGTGTTCTGGGTTGTCTACATATGGTACTAGTTTCATGGTTTTTAGTTGATGTGTATATATCAAGTATGAGGATTGAAATGATAAAGATTTGAATATTTCACTCAATATATATTGTCAAATGGCATCAATATCAACTTCTTATCAACATCTGATGTCGTGATATTCTTAGAAACTGATGTCGTGAATTAATGTAGTTCTTGTTGTTATTGACCATTCCAGATTAGAAAGTTGAAAGATTATTTATATTCTTAAGATACATTCAATAGATTTTTCTGTCAAACTTCTGGAACCTTCCAGAATAATGACTCATCGCTATAATCTGTTTTTGAAAAAGGGGATTAACACTGTAAACAAAAGATGTTCTAGAATATGAAGGATTAACATTGTGATGACACAATTAAATGTCAACATTCAATTATTACATTAAAAGACCATTATTGTTGAAATCAAGTATAGTAAGATCAAATGGTCAATTCAATATAGGACTTAAATAAATAAACCTTTTCAACGGTCAATTCAATATAGGACTTAAATAAATAAACCTTTTCATCTGTACACATATTTAATCCAAAATCCAGTTCTTTTTCCTTTTATGCGAACAGTATTTGTTTGACCAGCTCAATAGGATTATTGATTCTTTTCAATGTTGGGTTAATATTGAAAGTAGAATTGTAAACACTGTTAATGGATTATACCAAATTTAAAATAATATTAAAAGGATTTATTTTGTACTTTACTATTCAGTCCAAGAAATACATTTCTCACCCATTTAAGATAACAATGATGTCATGCGCATCTTATCTCTCACCCATTTAAGATAACAATGATGTCATGCGCATCTTATCTATCATTTTTACACATTTAAGATGAAAGCCCCATCCAATTAATTTATCTCCTAATCCCCATTCAATTAATTTATCTCCTGCT